GAGTCTATATGTATAAATTAACTTTTAGTTTTTTATATTGTTTTAATCTTTAAACTTTATATATTTATAATTTTAATCCATAATTTCTATAAATTTCTTTTAATATTTAACACCAAACCAATAAAAGGACTGAAACTAAAACAAAATAAAATTTTAAGGACTAATTGTTCGACATTTAACAAATCACGAATTAAAATGAGATTGATGTTAAATCTAAAGAACTATTTAGGAGATTCACTTATAGCAGAATCATAAATATATGTCGTGCTTGGAATTATTCTTTTTTTTTTACGTTTTTTGAGAAAAAAATAAAAACGATTCTAAAACGGCATTTGACACAATTAAAGATAAAAAATAAAAATAAAAATAATTTTTTAATTTAGTGTAAAAGAGAAGAGTAATGAAAAATGATTTTTAGTGATTTTTTATTTTTTATTTTTATTTTTTCCTCTCTTAAATACATAGAGACATTAATAAATTTTTTATACTGAAAATAATCTCTTAGAGCCCGTTTGGTTGGAGGATTCGTTCTCTGATTCGAATCATGGTTCATGATTTACTACAGTATTTTCTCTCATAAAAAATATACATAAATGAAAAATAGTTATAATCTCATGGTTTTAATTCATGAACCAAACGGGCTCTTAATAAAATTACTTAAAAATATTATTATTTTCATTTTTATATAAAAAAATCATTTTGTAACGATGAGTGGAGGCCAGGCTGGTGGTAAAATGAGAACAATGCGTACGGAGTGGCACGGTGCGAATCGAGAAACACGTTCCACAAAGCATTAATATTTTTCAATAAACACACACAGACACAGTAGCATAAACCCACAACACAACGCGAATCTGTGGTACGCAGGCGTACCGTACAGGCGTACACCTGCGCGTCTCTCAGAGCGACTTGACATCCCTGCCGCTGTCCACGTGTCAGATCCACTGGGCCTTGACCCGCACCAGCTGGTCTCCAAAAGCCCACAGCCCTCCGATGCGTCTTATGGTGGGCCCGCCGCTATGCTCACCCTCACACTGTCGACACCTCTACTCAAATACTATTCTCTCTCCACCGACTGGACTTTGTCGTGGTAAATGTTTGTGCTAAATGACAATTTTAGACTTGCAGGTGGGATCCATAGATTCTGCGGGTCCCTCACTATTGTCAATTTTTTAATTATTGGGCCTCTCTTCAGTCTCAATAATATTATTCCTGATTGTGATTTAAAAATCTTGTCTAGTATTAATTAAGAATAATTTTTGGTTTAATAAGTATTATTTGGATTTATTGGTAATAAAACAGGTCGGGTTTCACATGGGACTGAAGTTTCAAGGGCGTTTAATAGAGGGATTCGTTCTCTGATTCGAAACATGATTTGTGGTTTATTACAGTATTTTCTCTCACAAAAAATACACGTAAATAAAAAATGGTTCGAATCACATAATTTGAATTATCCAACCAAACGAACCCGAGATCCAGCATGTCGAAGCCGGTTTTTAATGTTCAATTTGTATTAGTTTATTAATTAATTGAGGATTTACGACTAAGCCTGTTAGCTTGTGTTTCTTATGGGAGGTTGTTTTCCAAATTCCAATAGTCTATTTGATAAATTGAAAAATAATTCAAATTTTTGTTAGAGATCTAAAACATTATAAAGAAAAGGCTTGAATTGAAATAAAAAATGTGTGAAACAAAGAGGATGAAAGAGTATTTTGTAACATGAGAATCCTTATTTTTACTCCCCCTTTATCTTTGTTTAATTATTTATTTGCTGAATTTTTCCATTTACTTCTAAGTTATAACTTGCTATCTCTTTTTTTAATTTAAAAATATAATTCTCTTTTCAGCACCACCTATATATATTGTGTCCTTTAAATAAACCTTAGATAAGAAAATGATTTTGTTCCCCGTGTAAATTCGCTAGGCTTGTTCCTTGCATGAATACATACATAGATCACCTGAGATTTTATTTGCTAAGAAATGTTAATATTATTTTTTTTTTGTCACTCTCTATATTTATTATTTAACACGTAAATTTTATTAATATAATATATTATTATTTAAATAAAAAATGAGATAGTAGAATTCACATAATTATTTTCTGCATTTACTGTTTAACACGTAAATTTTATTAACATGATATATTATTATTTAAATAAAAAATAAAATAGTAAAATTCACGTAAATAGTGAAAAAGAAAATTACATAAAAAATAATGCCAGCATTTCTTAAGTTTACTTATCAGTTTCCTTCTTAATTCCTCTTTCCATCGTTAAAATAATTCTTAGTTCACTTTTCAAAGTTCCAATTTGTTCACCAGAGTCTCCCTTACGTTCGGTTCCACCAATCTATGGAGTTGCTTCTAATGGTTTCTTTTTTCTACTTTTTTGGAACAAAAAATAAAAAAGGTTCCCCAATCCTTCTAATTGGAACATTAGCCAAAGAAAAAAAGGCTTCTTAGGTTAGAAGGAAAAGACAGTGGATACTTCGCCATTTTAAATAACGGTATCTAATAGCAAAATCTCAATTAGTGTTTATTCTGCAATAATGTGAAGGTACTATAATTTATACTAAAATTTAACGCCCTAATTACAATTTTGTGTCACTAGGGACGCGAATACACACACTTTTTTTTTTTTTTTTTTTTGAGGTGGACTCGGCAGATGAAAAAAGCCACGCGGCAAAGAAAAATTGTTTTTCTAAAGAATACGAAGGTAAATATATATATATATATATATATATTTTTTATTCCTTTTCTCTTTTTGGTTATCAATCATCATTATTGCTTTAAACACACACCAAAGATCATGGTAATATCTTACTTAGGTGATCAATAAAGATTCCGTTCATTTTACTGATTTAAATTTAAAATTTAAATTTTATTTTAATAAAAAATTTATAAAAATAGTTATATTTAACTTTTTACTATAGCAAAAAGTTCTTATATAAAAAATTAAAAACTCGAATCAACAAATTAAACGGACTTAAAGTTCTCTTTTTATTACTTATTTTCAATTTTTCTTTGTCCTCCATTTAAAAAAAAAAAAATGAAAGAAAATTGCATTGCAGGGGTGCCTGCTTTTTCCTATTGGCAGGTCATATAATTAATCACACCCTTTATTTCAAGTTTAATAATTGTAAAAACATCCTACATTTTATAAAATATCAGTTTACCCATATTCTCATTCATTATTTATTTATTTTTTTGCTTCAGCCTTGACCGTTTGGTTATGGAATTATAGAAAATGTGGGGAAAGATTGCGACTTATTATAAAATATAGATGTCATTTTTGTAATTATTTATACTATATGCTTAGACGATAATAGTGTGAAATGCACACGTAAGCCTTCATTTAGATTCAATAATAACCTCTAAATGGTGCTCTATAAGTAGGGAAACACATATGCACTCTATGATAAAGCCCCCCTCACCGAAAAAAAATCATTCTGCTTAATTTTCATTTATTATTTTTTACAAAAATTCGTTTAAGAGGAGAAAGTTATGTTTTGTTTATGAAATTGGAAAGCTATTAAAAAGTTAAAATTGCATATATCTTTTTCCACAAGGTCAACACGGACAACTTTCATGAGCTAGATATCATATAGTAATTAACGTGCTTGCAATTAATTGTGGTAAGTTCGATTTGTAAACCATAAACTGGATAATGCAATCATAAATCATAACGACACACCTACCATTTTTCTTTTTCTCTTGATTTGTCTCTATGAATTTAAAAATTAAAGCCCCAAAAAGTAAAACCAGATATCACAAGTAGTTTTTTTTTTTTTTTTTTTTTTTTTTTTTTTTTTTTTTTTTTTCCCTCTAATCCAGATATCACAAGTAGTTTGTGCATGATCGCTTTTCTTTTTTGTGCAACATAATCATGGACTGATAAAGCCAAACCCTTCTTGATAGGCCAATGTGATGTAGATCCTTCAAAGTTTTTTCCTTCTACATATATAGTTATAAGCCAAAAAGTGGGTTGGGAATTAATGATCAAGATGTGAATTTGTGAACCACCGGATCTAAGTCAAACTCTGTGGGTCTCGACTTTTATTTCACCATTTGAGTTTTTAATTTTAATTTTGTTACAGTTAAAATTTTTCATAAAAAATCACTTTTAATTTATTATGTTACAGTTAAAAATTCTCATATAAAATTACATCTCAACTCAAATTAAAAATTTAAATCAACAAACTGAATGAAACCTAAATTTTAACCCAATTTTTATAAAAAAATAATATTACGGATAATAACTTTAATTTTAATTTGTGAATTAACTAATCAAGTTCTATTTTTTTATCGATGTGTACAACCTTTTATTATCAATTGATATAATAATCTTCTAAACGCTTATCAATAAAAATATCCTCTTAATATTGTAGATTTATTTATACTATTTTTAAAATATTCTTAAAATTTTATTATATTTCAATTTCACCGCTCAAATATTGTTATTTGTCTAAATAGCCTTGAATAAAAAACCTAAAAAGGAATAAAAGAATTGACTGACGTGCATTAGGCGATGGGTGGACAAAGGGACGCAATTGTCATTGTAATAGACGACAAGAACAGCTGGTTATTTCCTTCTACAAGGCTCTGCTAATATCATAATTCATACGCAATTTGTGCAACATATAATATGCTTTCCATCTTTAATACTAATGAAAGCCCAAGATTTGTTTTTTTTTATAAATAATTTCCCAAAATAAATTATCCGAATAATTTAATTAATTTCATTTTTTATACGAAAAATATTTTACAATTATGATTTTGCCGTGGATTTCTATGGTGGAGGAAACGCAAAGCTGGAAAGGCAAAAGAAAAAAAAAAAGTCTCTGTTTCTCTTTAGTCCCCTCTCTCTCTCTCTCTCTCTCTCTCTCTCTCTACTGGTGCTTTGCCTCTTTTCACTTCTCCGAGAGACGCATTATAAAGAATTGATTTTTTTTTTTCAAAACCGGAAAAAAAAAGAAGAAAGGAGGAGGAGAAGGGAAAGGGATAAGAAAGAAGAAGTATAGAGAAAGCGAAGGAGAAGCGGAGAGTGGGCGGGGGGGAGGGGGGGTTGCAGTTGAGTTGAGTTGAGTGTGCGTGGCGGCACACGGTAGCGTTGGGCGTGTTATTCTGCGCCGCTTCCTGGGTTGGGTTTGGCTTGGGATTCATGGATTGGATTATTCCTCTTCTCTCTCAGGTCGCTTCGTTCCCACGGCAGCTTTTTTCACTTTGATAATTGTCGCTCCACACTGAGGCAAAAGATCGATTCCGAACAACTTTTTCACCATTTCGCTGCAATTCGAATTTTTGCCTCAGCATCATCATCATCAGAACCAGCCTTTTTTTCTCTCTCCAATTTCTCCATTATTCTCAACTCTGGCGGACCTCAAAGGAACCATAGCTTTCCTCCGATTATCGCTCTCGGCGACTCTGCAAGACCGATTCGACTTCAAGTCCAAGAAGAAGAAGAAGAGAGGAGGCGTTTACGAGGTCAAAATGCTCTGGATTAAGAGGTTTTCCGGTCTCGTCTCCGCCGCAATGGTCTTGATCGTTCTATCGCCGTCGCTCCAATCGTTCCCCCCCGCCGAAGCCATCCGATCGTCGCACCACGACTCCAATCTCCGCCTACATGTCCCTGCCGGCGTCGGCGTTTCTCTCAACAGGTTTTCCTTTCGAAAGGCGCCGACTTTCCGCAATGCCGATGAATGCCGCTCTGGCGAGTCCGGAATTCCGGCGGGAATCAGCGTCTGCGATCCTAATTTGGTCCATGTGGCGATTACGCTTGATGTGGAGTACCTCCGGGGGTCAATCGCCGCCGTCCATTCGATTCTCCACCACTCGCTCTGTCCGGAGAGTGTGTTCTTCCACTTCCTGGTCTCCGAGAACAATCTGGAATCCCTAGTGCGATCCACCTTCCCTAAGTTGAACTTCAAGGTGTACTACTTCGATCCGGAGATTGTACGGAGTCTGATCTCGACGTCGGTGAGGCAAGCCCTAGAGCAGCCGCTCAATTACGCGAGGAATTACTTGGCCGATCTCCTGGAGCCCTGCGTTAGCAGAATAATCTACTTAGATTCCGATCTGGTTGTTGTCGACGACATCTTCAAGCTCTGGACCACGAGGCTAGGTTCGAGAACAATCGGAGCCCCGGAGTACTGCCACGCCAACTTCACAAAGTACTTCACGGCGAGTTTCTGGTCGAACCAGCAGTTCTCGTCGGCGTTCGCCGGGCGGCGGCCGTGCTACTTCAACACCGGCGTGATGGTGATAGATCTGGAGAAGTGGAGGCGGAACGGGTACACGAAGCGGATCGAGAGGTGGATGGAGATCCAGAAGAGCGACCGAATCTACGAGCTCGGGTCGCTTCCGCCGTTCCTTTTGGTCTTCGCGGGACACGTGGCTCCCATCGAGCACCGGTGGAACCAGCACGGCCTCGGCGGAGATAACGTCAGGGGAAGCTGCCGCGACCTCCATCCCGGTCCGGTTAGCCTCCTGCATTGGTCCGGTAGCGGCAAGCCATGGCTCCGGTTGGACTCCAAGCGGCCTTGCCCACTCGACGCTCTCTGGGCACCATACGACTTGTACGGACATTCTCACTGAACGACGATAGGGATTATTGGGGTCTTCGTCGACGGTAAATTCCCTCCAGGACTGTTTTGTCACTTATTTTGTTCTTTTATTTCTCGTCAATTCGCCATTTTTTTCCCTCCATCCTCTCCATTATTTTGTGTCTTCTTCTTTTTACTATGAGCTACTCATTTTTCTTTTTCATTTTTTTATATAGACTCTTTTTCTTTCTTTTATTTTTGTTATTGTTAGTAGATCATCCGCTCAGGCCATTTGTATTCTATTCATCTTTTATTCCTCATCTTGCAAATAAAAGGAACAAAAAAAAAAAGATATTCAATTTGTTATTGTACACAATAATGTGTTAGATCTGCCATTTCTAGTGATGGTTGCTTGTTAGGGCCAAAACAGAAACCTCTGTGCCAAAGAAAATAAAGAAAAAAGGGTATCTCCGACTCCAATCCACCCGTCAAATGGAGGGAGACATTAACATGTGGGAATTGCCGACATCGAAGTGGAGTCATCGAAATGCCCAAACTGCACTTTTCAATCCCTCTAAATTACATCAACTTGTAAGAGTAGTCATAAATTAAAAATTAGTTATGGAAATCTGTTCGCTCTACTTTCTATAGCTCATTATAGGCATTGTCTTTCCCTA